TCTTATCCCTAGCATTACTCTTACCAAAAACTGATCAGGTAAGTCCCAGAGATTAGGCTAGACAAGACTTGTTCAATTAGGGAACTAGGTTAGAGAAGACGAGTTCCATTAGGCTGGACAATACTTCTTCAATTAGCAATCTTTCAAATTGGAGATGGATGGCAAGGACACAGAAGGTATGATTTCTCTATTACAAATTGAAGGTAGCTAAGTTTCTATTAAAAAAAAATTCAGCTGTAAAACACTGCTTTAGGAGTTTCGAACATTTCTAGTTAATTAGATTGAAACAGACAAATCACTATCATCATAAAGAAAAAGAAAAAGAAAAAAAAAGTTTAGCAATTCAGCTAGTAACCTTAGGTGTATTAGTTTTAATCATCCAAAACAATGACCCCAGGGTCTGATTTATTGGTGCTTACTTCAGTTGGTTGATTGGCACTTGAATCAGCATCATGCAATGCTTCCATTTCCACATCATCTCCAGTTCCATATTTTACATTGCATAACATATTGTTTAGACCAGACATATTTTACATTGCATCAGTTTCTTTAACTTTAACTAATGTATGAATGCATTGATATATTTTCTAGTATTGCATTTCCTATATCAAAGGTCAAAGCCTGATGTTTATTACTACATTTACATTATGTTACTCCACCAGCAGCACCTTATTTCTGTTGCTAGAGCATAACATATTGTTTTGTGAAATTCTTATTAAGACTTCATGTTGCTTGTGCAAATGTCGTCCACATTATTTTCTGATCTGATTGTTATTGTGGATGCTCATTTTCTTATTAACAGTTGAATCTTGAAATTGTTAGGCAAGGTTATATTCCTATATATATATATATATATATATTATATTTTAAAAATAACTTTTTACGGCATATAAAATTATGCCATAAAATGTGCAATGATTTATGACGTGTAACAAAATACCGTAAAAGATTATATATGGCATACAAAGTATGTTATAAATATATTAAAAATGACCTTCTACGACATACAAAATTATGTGGTAAAAAGTGATGATTTATGACATGCAAGAAAATGCTGTAAAATATTATATACGGCATGCAAAGTATGCCATAAATATATTCAAAATAACCTTCTACGACATGTAAAATTATGCCATGGAAAGTATGATGATTTATGGCATGACAAAAATGTCGTAAAAAATAATATACGACATACAAAATATGTTATTAATGTTTAATTTATTCCTTTTTACAACTTTACCTGCATGTCGTAAATATTGTTCAACTTTTTACGGCATGCATTGAAAGTCGTAAAAATTCAATTTTGTTGTAGTGCCAATAATCTCAAAATGTAATCTTGTGAACTGTTTGGTTCTCTCTTTTTTCTTATGAACCCAAAGGTCCCATTAAAGTGGAAATTATACAAAAGTGTAGTCATTTACACTTTTGGCTTTAATTTTTGAGGGACAGAAGTGGATTTCTCCAAATGTAAAATTACACATTTAGGCAATCTGCACTATAGAAGTTTTGGATTTTTCATCATTCTGGAACAAATCTCACATTACGAATAAGAATGTAACACTCCAATGTAAGACTCTAATAACATAGCACTCCAATATAATACACTAACAAACTACTTAGGGTTCGTTTAGGGTGTGGATTGGCTTTTTGACTATTTTAGCCAGGGGCTAAAAAGCCTTGTTTGGAATAGGCTTTTTGGTTTTTTTAACTTTTGTGAAAGAAAAAATAAAATGATTATGGTTTGGATGTGACATTTTGCCTTATTGGGCTAAAAAGCTTATTTTGTCTTTTTGTGGCTATTTTAGCCAAAAATCCCCATTTTAGCTTATGTGAAAAGGAGATTCAGCGCCGTTTTGGGAACTTTGGAAAAAAGCCACGTTTTTTTATCATTTTCCAAAAACGCAAGTGGCCAAAAACGCAACAAAATTGGTTTGGGAAGTTCTAAAAACGCAAGTGTGAAATTACAAATGGGCCTATGACAAAAAAATAAAAAAAATAAATTTCTTATGTTGGGTAAGGGTATTTTGGTCATTTTAATTTGATTTGACACCATAAACAAATATTAAACTATAAAGCCAAAAGCCAGCTTTTTATCAACTTCCCAAATCACTTTTCAAAAAGCTAAAAAGCTTGGTAAAAAGTCAAAAGCCAGCTTTTTTCCAACTTCCCAAAACACCCTTCAGTATATTTTTTCTAAACGTAACAACGTAACACTCTAAACTTTTCCCAAATGTAACACTCCAATATAACAAATTCCAATATAACACACAAAAAAGCTCATTAATGTACTTTTTTCAAACGTAACACTCCAATTAATATAATCTCAAACGTAACACTCCAATGTAACATACATAAAAACACTAAAAAAACTATTTAATGTACTTGTTCCAAATGTAACACTCATAGTTTGAAATTATACATTTTATAGTGATCTCGGTTTTCCCTTTTCTTGTTTAATTGTATTCCAGACTCGGTTTCGTGGATGTGTTATGGTCATATTCTCATTTCTATCCTTTACTCTTTATATTTGAGTCTTGGGTTGTGTTGGGCAGGGTAGAAACAGGTTGGTTATGTTTAGAAACCAAAAGTTGATGCCCAGATTTTGGCCTTCACGCTCGAGCAGGGCTTTTGACGCTCGAGCGGACCTTTTTGTTTTTGCTTCTTTGCTCAAACGAGCGTTTTGACCCTCGAGCGTGATTATTCATCTCTTAGCATTTTGTTCTGCAGGTCATCGAACGATCGAGCGTCCATTTTCACGCTCGAGCGGGGACCATCGTCTGCAAAACTTCTGGAAATGTGCATCCGGTGCTCGAGCAGCGCTTTTGACGCTCGAGCGTAAGTCTGTGTCTGACGCTCGAGTGGGGAATCCCACGCTCAAGAGGACTTGTTTGTATATCAATCCGAATTTTGACTTTTTGGATCACCTTTTTGATGCCTTTTCTCTCTCTAACTTTTCAAAACCTCCATTAGAGAGCTCCTCTCTCTAGATTTCAACTTCTCTCTAAGGTTTGATCTAGTTTGAGTGATCTTCCACCCTTGTCCCTTTGTAAAAAGTGTGGGGTTTGGCTTGCTCTTCATTTTGATCCTAAAATCTTGAAGTTTGGAGCACTTTGGAAATTCTTCATCATCTCCTTTTGGTCTCATCTTTTGAGGTAGGGATAACTACTCATTTTTATGAGCTTTAACATAGATGTTGGGCAATTTGTATAAATGGTTTGATTTGGGGAAGTTAGGGTTTGAGATTTGAAAAATTGAAAAGAGGGGTTTTGTTATTTTGACCACTACATATGTGTTTTGTGTCTCTGTTCTTACAGAAATTGTTTCCAATTGCTAGTTGAATTTTTCTTTGTTCTGAATTTTGATGGAGATATTAGTTGCTTAGTTAGTATTATTAAATTTAACTGCTAGGCTTGACAACTGATTCACTGTATGCTGTATTACTTGTACGACTATGTAATATTGAAGTTCACACTATTTCATGGGTTATAAGAATCCTATGAGCCCTTGCCCGTGCTTCAAGATCAACCTGATAGGACACGACAGAAAATATATACATGTATTTAGAATCAATAAGTTGTAGTTTGAATGTAATTGACAATTAATCAGTCTAGACTTGGTGCTCATCTTCATCATTGGTAAATTGGGTCTCTCGAAGTAAACAGGAAGTAGGCATAACCTATGACTAAACCAGTGGTGGTGGTGAAAAATGCAATTGGCTCCATAACATCCCATGAGAATTCCCAGAATGTAAGACAAAAGAAGAGCCCGACCTGCATGATAGCCAACCCTAGCCCTGACCAGAGGATGCGCCGGACCGGCTTATGTGCCAGCATGTCAATTTCTTCCTTCTTCTCCTGGAGCTTCTTTAGCACATCCCTCCTGGGGTCGTCTTTAGATGTCAGGGCAAGGGGCACTGCTCTTCTAACCAAATCCACCACATGAATATGTAGAAGTAAATGGAACAACAAAAATCAATTTAAGTAATAATATCAAATATGTAAGGCTTCTAAACAGAAAGGACCATGGCTGTAAGAATTGTGTGATTCATGATTAGATTCATACGTTTTGATACGAGTTTCAACCAAAAAGATGTTTCACCCCTCTATCAATAAATAAAGAGATCAATTAGTTATAATAATGAACATAATTATATATACATGTATATATAATTTAGTTATATTGATATTCATTTTATTTTAAACGTTTTCTGTATTTTTATATGTATATATACATATATACGAATATATTATTTTTTCATAAATTATATTAGTTTATATTAAATAAAGTGCTCTTATGATTCATGATTCACTGTTGTAGCAAAACGATTCACGGTTCGGTTCGCTATTTGACAATAATGGAAATGACAGATAGATTGGGAGAAAAAAAAACTGCTAAGACTCACTAAAATTTAAATTCATATTGTGTCAACAACTCAAGCCAATTTATCCCAGTTGGATAGCCGATACAAATCTAATCAACAGATCTACGGCATTCAAGTGGGCTAAATAAAGAAACAAACACACCATGCACGGGTCAAATGTTTCATTTCAATAGTCTAAGAGGTACACTTGCAGAAATAAAAATCACCATATGGAGAGAATAATAATAGAAATAATAAATCTCTAAGAAGGAAGGTTAAACTAAGAACAAAAAGAAGAAGAAGAAATGGCAATCATAATTATGTCTAGATGGACATGCACAGATTATGTATTGAGTGTACCTCATAACTTTGCATAAAACTCTCATTTTATGTCTAAAATACTCTACATTAGTTTATAAACACAATTTTACTCTAAATAAATAAAGTACTTAAGAAATATGAAATCAAGCCATATTTTGGTATCCTCTTGGACATGACAATTAGATGATATGACACACTTAAACACAAACCTGTACACAACACTCGTACCCAAGTCCAGGAATCCATATATGATATACCACACAAGAACTTGGCACATTTTGAATTGTTACACAATTTAAATTGAGGCTATACCAGTAACTGGTTGCTGGAGATGGTCAAACTTGGGTTTTAATCACTTGATTTGCAAGATATCACCTATTGTTTAGCTGATTCCATCTCATTCTATATGGCAGATGGAAGAGTACATCTTATGTTTAATGTTGTTGGGGACATTGCTTGGTGCAATGGCAAAAAGTTTGGGCTGTCAAGTGTAGTACACAGGTTCAAGTCTGAGAACAACTACTTCGTCCAATTAAAGGTAAAGGTTAGGAACACTCAACATGAACTTTTTCCAGTTTCTACGGGAGATTGATGCTGCTCTAGTTAGATGTGTTGTGTCTGTTGTAAACGAATCTCTCTCTGTTTATCTCAAGCTTCAAGGAACTCTTAATGCAGAAGCAGAACGTGAAAAGCTCAGGAAAAAGATGGAAGACATACAAAGGTAAGTGTTTTTTTCTCAACTGAAAACTCTTCAACACTCTATACAAGATTGGACCAGACAACAGGTGGCCACCCTGTTTTGGCCAACAGTCATATGCAATGGTCACATTAGGCAGTAGCTTCGGGTCCTTGAGATTCAACTTAGAGGCTATGACATCTAACTGATGTATGACTTTGGTCACACTGTTATTATGGTCCAAAGATATCTTCTGGTGGATATCCTCTCTTAAGATAGATCAAGGTGCATGTCCCTTGGGGATTATTGGGATGAGCCACCTTGGAAAAACACTAATTGTAGTCGCCAAGGTTAGTATACAAGTGTCATGGTCCACCCATGACTGTGGTGCCACCTGAAGGTGTCCTTCAGCCCTGTTTGGACCCTAGGTTAGTCTGTGAGATGTAATGATGTTTTTAATTGAATTAAAACTATTGTACTTTTGAAATTACTATTAGCTGTGATGCAATCTTTTAACAAATTAGTTTTAGGATATTTTTTTCCATCTTGTGTGAAGTGTATTTTTTCAGATGAACATGAGAATTTATTGTGATTATTATGTTTTTGAGTCTTTTTGTGAGGTAGATTATGTGAATTTTGTTACACAATGAAAACTTATGTGTTTTTGTTTGATGCAGTAACTATTTCTGCAACCCAGTAATGAAGGAAATGGTCATGTAATTGGTTGTACGGAATTAATGATGTTATATTGTTGTTGCACCAGCTGGAATGTCAGTCTATTTGTGCTATGTTAAATCGAGAATAGGCTTTCTAATATGAATGTTTATACCTGTGACTTGTGATTTACTCGAGTGAGGTGTCAGTTGTGGAAATTTAATATTTGTATGATGGAACCTACATATTGAATGAATCTCAACCACACTTGTGTTTCTTCATATTTTTCTTTGTTTGAGTTTCTTATCCCTAGCATTACTCTTACCAAAAACTGATCAGGTAAGTCCCAGAGATTAGGCTAGACAAGACTTGTTCAATTAGGGAACTAGGTTAGAGAAGACGAGTTCCATTAGGCTAGACAATACTTCTTCAATTAGCAATCTTTCAAATTGGAGATGGATGGCAAGAACACAGAAGGTATGATTTCTCTATTACAAATTGAAGGTAGCTAAGTTTCTATTAAAAAAAATTCAGCTGTAAAACACTGCTTTAGGAGTTTAGAACATTTCTAGTTAATTAGATTGAAACAGACAAATCACTATCATCATAAAGAAAAAGAAAAAGAAAAAAAATTTTTAGCAATTCAGCTAGTAACCTTAGGTGTATTAGTTTTAATCATCCAAAACAATGACCCCATGGTCTGATTTATTGGTGCTTACTTCAGTTGGTTCATTGGCACTTGAATCAGTATCATGCAATGCTTCCATTTCCACATCATCTCCAGTTCCATATTTTACATTGCATAACATATTGTTTAGACCAGACATATTTTACATTGCATCAGTTTCTTTAACTTTAACTAATGTATGAATGCATTGATATATTTTCTAGTATTGCATTTCCTATATCAAAGGTCAAAGCCTGATGTTTATTACTACATTTACATTATGTTACTCCACCAGCAGCACCTTATTTCTGTTGCTAGAGCATAACATATTGTTGTGTAATTCTTATTAAGACTTCATGTTGCTTATGCAAATGTCGTCCACATTATTTTCTGATCTGATTGTTATTGTGGATGCTCATTTTCTTATTAACAGTTGAATTTTGAAATTGTTAGGCAAGGTTATATTCCTATATATATATATATATATTATATTTTAAAAATAACTTTTTACGGCATATAAAATTATGCCATAAAATGTGCAATGATTTATGACGTGCAACAAAATACCATAAAAGATTATATATGGCATACAAAGTATGTTATAAATATATTAAAAATGACCTTCTACGACATACAAAATTATGTGGTAAAAAGTGATGATTTATGACATGCAAGAAAATGCTGTAAAATATTATATACGGCATGCAAAGTATGCCATAAATATATTCAAAATAACCTTCTACGACATGTAAAATTATGCCATGGAAAGTATGATGATTTATGGCATGACAAAAATGTCGTAAAAAATAATATACGACATACAAAATATGTTATTAATGTTTAATTTATTCCTTTTTACAACTTTACCTGCATGTCGTAAATATTGTTCAACTTTTTACGGCATGCATTGAAAGTCGTAAAAATTCAATTTTGTTGTAGTGCCAATAATCTCAAAATGTAATCTTGTGAACTGTTTGGTTCTCTCTTTTTTCTTATAAACCCAAAGGTCCCATTAAAGTGGAAATTATACAAAAGTGTAGTCATTTACACTTTTGGCTTTAATTTTTGAGGGATAGAAGTGGATTTCTCCAAATGTAAAATTACACATTTAGGCAATCTGCACTATAGAAGTTTTGGATTTTTCATCATTCTGGAACAAATCTCACATTACGAATAAGAATGTAACACTCCAATGTAACACTCTAATAACATAGCACTCCAATATAATACACTAACAAACTACTTAGGGTTCGTTTAGGGTGTGGATTGGCTTTTTGACTATTTTAGCCTGGGGCTAAAAAGTCTTGTTTGGAATAGGCTTTTTGGTTTTTTTGACTTTTGTGAAAGAAAAAATAAAATGATTATGGTTTGGATGTGACATTTTGCCTTATTGGGCTAAAAATCTTATTTTGTCTTTTTGTGGCTATTTTAGCCAAAAATCCCCATTTTAGCTTATGTGAAAAGGAGATTCAGTGCCGTTTTGGGAACTTTGGAAAAAAGCCACGTTTTTTTATCATTTTCCAAAAACGCAAGTGGCCAAAAACGCAACAAAATTGGTTTAGGAAGTTCTAAAAACGCAAGTGTGAAATTACAAATGGGCCTATGACAAAAAAATAAAAAAATAAATTTCTTATGTTGGGTAAGGGTATTTTGGTCATTTTAATTTGATTTGACACCATAAACAAATATTAAACTATAAAGCCAAAAGCCAGCTTTTTATCAACTTCCCAAATCACTTTTCAAAAAGCTAAAAAGCTTGGTAAAAAGTCAAAAGCTAGCTTTTTTCCAACTTCCCAAAACACCCTTCAGTATATTTTTTCTAAACGTAACAACGTAACACTCTAAACTTTTCCCAAATGTAACACTCCAATATAACAAATTCCAATATAACACACAAAAAAGCTCATTAATGTACTTTTTTCAAACGTAACACTCCAATTAATATAATCTCAAACGTAACACTCCAATGTAACATACATAAAAACACTAAAAAAACTATTTAACGTACTTGTTCCAAATGTAACACTCATAGTTTGAAATTATACATTTTATAGTGATCTCGGTTTTCCCTTTTCTTGTTTAATTGTATTCCAGGCTCGGTTTCGTGGATGTGTTATGGTCATATTCTCATTTCTATCCTTTACTCTTTATATTTGAGTCGTGGGTTGTGTTGGGCAGGTTAGAAACAGGTTGGTTATGTTTAGAAACCAAAAGTTGATGCCCAGATTTTGGCCTTCACGCTCGAGCAGGGCTTTTGACGCTCGAGCGGACCCTTTTGTTTTTGCTTCTTTGCTCGAACGAGCGTTTTGACCCTCGAGCGTGATTATTCATCTCTCAGCATTTTGTTCTGCAGGTCATCGAACGATCGAGCGTCCATTTTCACGCTCGAGCGGGGACCATCGTCTGCAAAACTTCTGGAAATGTGCATCCGGTGCTCGAGCAGCGCTTTTGACGCTCGAGCGTAAGTCTGTGTCTGAGGCTCGAGCGGGGAATCCCACACTCAAGAGGACTTGTTTGTATATCAATCCGAATTTTGACTTTTTGGATCACCTTTTTGATGCCTTTTCTCTCTCTAACTTTTCAAAACCTCCATTAGAGAGCTCCTCTCTCTAGATTTCAACTTCTCTCTAAGGTTTGATCTAGTTTGAGTGATCTTCCACCCTTGTCCCTTTGTAAAAAGTGTGGGGTTTGGCTTGCTCTTCATTTTGATCCGAAAATCTTGAAGTTTGGAGCACTTTGGAAATTCTTCATCATCTCCTTTTGGTCTCATCTTTTGAGGTAGGGATAACTACTCATTTTTATGAGCTTTAACATAGATGTTGGGCAATTTGTATAAATGGTTTGATTTGGGGAAGTTAGGGTTTGAGATTTGAAATATTGAAAAGAGGGGTTTTGTTATTTTGACCACTACATATGTGTTTTGGGTCTTAAAAGAGGGTATTGATGTTTATTGTTAATATTTGGACCTTTGGGGTCAATGTTGAGAAAAGGGGAAAAAGCCCTTATTTATTATTATGAATTAATTTGTATAATTAATTTGGGAAAGTTATGGGAATATGGACTTGGGTTGGAAATAATAAAATTGGCTTATTATGAGATTGAATGGTGGAGTTAGATTTATTAATCACCCACCTTTGAAAATATTGATAATTTATCTATTGGATGTAATTACTATCTGTTTAGAAATAATTGCTTTGGGCTATCGGTGGAGGATGGTCTTGATTGTTGTAGACACTGCATGATGATTAGGTGAATTAAAACTAATCGGTTGAATTTGTCATCGAATATGACGGTTGGAATAATACATCGAATTTGTGTATTGATTGATCGTGTATATGATAATTGTTTAAATACATTGTTTTGTGTGAGAGGGGATAGGGGATGTACTCCACGGTTTAGGAGGAGATAGGGGATGGACTCCTAAACCGGATATTATTTGCGAGGAGATATGGGATGGACTCCATTGATACAGCGAATCTGTGTATCATTTGTGAAGTATGGAAGTATTTTATTATGAGTTGCTATCTCATGAATTGTGAAGTATGGAAGTGTTTTATTATGAGTTAGAATCTCATTTAAATTGTTGATATTGGAAAGGTTTCTGACTTGAGCTGTAGTCTCATGGGAATTGTTTGGCCAGGTTCTGAGCCATGTTTATAAATCGAAATTGCTAAGTAAAGGAAAATGGA